TGTGACCTGCTGGGGGCCTTACCTGTGTACCTGCTGGGGGCCTTACCGTGTGTACCTCCTGGGGCATTACCTGTGTCCACCTGCTGGGGGCCCCTTACCTGTGTACCTGCTGGGGGCCTTACCTGTGTACCTCCTGGGGACCTTACCTGTGTACCTGCTGGGGACCTTCCTGTGCCTGCTGGGGGCCCTTCCTGTGTACCTGCTGGGGGCCTTACCTGTGTACCTGCTGGGGGCCCTTACCTGTGTACCTGCTGGGGGCCTTACCTGTGTACCTGGGGGCCTTACCTGTGTACCTCCTGGGGGCATTACCTGTGTACCTCCTGGGGCCTTACCTGTGTACCTCCTGGGGGCCTTACCTGTGTGCCTCCTGGGGGCCTTACCTGTGTACCTGCTGGGGGCCTTACCTGTGTGACCTCCTGGGGTCTTACCTGTGTACCTGCTGGGGGCCTTTGTGCCTCCTGGGGCTTACCTGTGTACCTCCTGGGGGCCTCCTGTGTACCTGCTGGGGGCCTTACCTGTGTACCTGCTGGGGGCCTTACCTGTGTGCCTGCTGGGGGCCTTACCTGTGTACCTCCTGGGGGCCTTACCTGTGTGCCTGCTGGGGCCTTACCTGTGTGTACCTGCTGGGGCCTTACCTGTGTGCCTGCTGGGGGCCTTACCTGTGTACCTCCTGGGGGCCTGTGTACCTGCTGGGGGCCTTACCTGTGTACCTGCTGGGGCCTTACCTGTGTACCTGCTGGGGGCCTTACCTGTGTACCTGCTGGGGGCCTTACCTGTGTACCTGCTGGGGGCCTTACCTGTGTGCCTCCTGGGGGCCTTACCTGTGTGCCTGCTGGGGCCTTACCTGTGTACCTGCTGGGGCCTTGCCTGTGTACCTGCTGGGGGCCTTACCTGTGTGCCTGCTGGGGGCCTTACCTGTGTGCCCCTCCTGGGGGCCTTACCTGTGTACCTCCTGGGGCCCACCTGTGTACCTGCTGGGGTCTTACCTGTGTACCTGGGGGGCCCACCTGACCTGCTGGGGTCTTACCTGTGTACCTGCTGGGGGCCTTACCTGGACCTGTGTCCTGCTGGGGCTCACCTGTACCTGCTGGGGGCTTACCTGTGACCTGGGGGCCTTACCTGTGTACCTGCTGGGGCCTCTACCTGGGGGCCTCCTGTGCCCCTTACCTGTGTACCTGCTGGGGCCCACCTGTGTACCTCCTGGGGCCTTACCTGTTTGTGTACCTGCTGGGGGCCTTACCTGTGTACCCTGGGTCCTGTGTCCTCTACCTGTACCTGCTGGGGGGCCTTACCTGTCTGGGTGTTGTGTGTGGGTGTACTCAGGTGTGTTACCTGTAGGTGTATGCTGAAGCTGATGGAAGGAAAGATAGAATGATTGAGGACTAATAAAATGAAAGAATTAAATAGGGGAATGAAGGAATGATAAAATGAAAGAAGATAGAATAATTGAGAACTGGTAGTCTGAGTGGATGATTGGTTTGCGTCAGGTAGCTCTATACACGCTGAAGCTAATTGGCTTTGTTAAATGGTTGATTGGTTGATTGGTTGACTGATTTACTACTGATTGTCCGACTAATACACTCAATGACTGACTGCCTGACACACTCACTAGTTAACTGAGTGACTGTATGATTACCTGACTGACTCACTGACAGACTAAGTGACTCATTGATTCACTGACAAAATGACTGATTCACTAACTAACTGACTCACTGATTTACTGACTCACTGACTGACTTATTCATTGACTCACTGGCTAACTGACTCACTAACTAACTGACTCACTGACTGACTTATTCATTGACTCACTAACTAACTGACTCACTGACTCATTTCAGGACTCTTCTTTAAACACCGTCATGTATTGAACCTTCTGACCCTCTTAGAGACCTTCTCCCTCTCCCCTCTCTCTCTCCCTCCCTCTCTCTCTCCCCTCTCCCCCTCTCTCCCCCTCTCCCCCCCTCTCCCTCCTCTCCCTCTTCACTTCTCACCCCCATCTCTCTCCTCTCTTGTCCCCTTGCACGTTCTTATCATCAGTCATCAGTCATCGTCATCTGTCATCCGTCATCTGTCATCCGTCATCCGTCATCCGTCATCAGTCATCCGTCTTATGAACTGATTAAATACACTCCTCCTCCACCCTCCGCTTCACCCTACCTCCCTCCTATCTCTCTCCACCTCCATCCCATCCCCCCTCCTCCTACCTGCATTGCGCTAAACATTACTTACAAACCATCACCCTTAAAGCATCCCGGAAATGTTAAGTTTGGTCTCATTTACCTTTGTGTGTGTGTGTGTGTGTGTGTGTGTGTGTGTGTGTGTGTGTGTGGATTATATCTGCCTATGTGTTTGTCTGGGTTATTTGGATTGGTGTTTTGACTCTGTTTGGGTGTGATGCTTTGTTTGATTTGTGTGTTTGGCTGTTTTAAAGGTATTATTTGACGTTATGTAGGTCTCAACACAACACAACACAACACAACACAACACTATCCTCGTCTCC